AAAAATACACTTAAAATCACAAATTAATATAAAAATAAAGTTTTAATAAAAAGAGTTGCATGAAATTGCGAGAATGGTTTAAAAGTATATATTTAAAATCACAAAATAAAGTTTTAATCAAGAAAGTTGCATGAAATACTTTCTTCTTTGCATCTTTTTCATTTATAGAATAATGTCATTTTTTAGTGTATACACGTAGATGTAATAATATTCTAACGAAATATACCACTAATGTCAATATTCAATTATCAACTTCTTGGTGCTCAATCATATGTTGAACTTCAAATTCATTTGAGCTCGAGATTTCTAATATAAAGTGAGAAACTCATTTTTAATTTTAGCTTCTAATATATAACTTGAAAAAAAAAAAAACTTTAGATTGTGGAATTTCATTTGACAAACCAACTTAAAAACAATCCACCAATTTACATTTTTCACAAAACGATAAATGATAGAAAATTAAAGTCATCATGAATATATGTCAAAAAAAAAAAAAAAAAAAATGTCATAAGTAATGCCTTTTACCCACATCCATATCAAACCTTAAAGTCTTTATTATAAAAAATCGCCTAGGCGAAATTGCTAGGTGACATCTAGGCATTACAATTTCGCCTAAGCAGTCATTCTAAAATAATAATTTGTTTCTCAAAAAAATTTAAATAACGTAAATTTTATCCATTAATTTTATATGAATATTATAATAAAAATCATAGTTTTTCAACCGGATCAGCCCAACGGCTCAACCTGGGACCCGATCGACCTGGAGTCGGAGCCAAAACCTGCTACTCGGTTGAATTATTCGGATGGATAACAACGAAACATTGCTTAAAGTAGTGTATTTTTTACCATAAATAAAGAAGACTTAGAATCCATTATCTTAATACAACTAAATTATTGATTAAGTTATTAATCAACAACCAATAAACAAACAATTACAAATCCTAGATTGAAACTCCGAGAAAACAACATTTAATTCACATAAAATCTTAGAGGAGGGGTTGATCATCACCTATATTATTTAGTAAAATTTAATTAAGCACATTAATCATTTCAATATTAAAGATATGTCAATTAATTGTAGTAATAAAATGAAGGCAAAATAAATAAATAACCAAAAACCAAAAAAAAAAAAAAAAAAAGAGGATGGACCAACAGAGGCGGAAGTGTAAGCACTGATAGAGGCAATAATTTATTTTGGAAGAATTCAAGAGAATTACATTATTGGTATTTAGGTTTTAAATGAACTTGACCAAATAATTTAAAATTGGACTTATTTTTTGTTTTAAATTGCTTTACATAAAATAATATCAAGTGGGCTACCAACCTATTACAAATATGGGTCCAGAAGAAACTTACAAATCTACCCTGGGCTGGAGCCCACCCCAGCCTTTGGGGTGGCTCCGCCCCTGAATGTAACCACGATCTAACTGCAATGGTGGGTCTAGTAGTCGTTGATAATCACTAGGACAGTGGCGAGCTAGTGTCACCAAAAAGTCGGCCGCAAAGTTGATTTCTCTATAACAATGATTCACACTGGCATCCCATTCTCTACTAAGAAGTTCCAGGATGGCCCAAACCACACTGTCATGAGTGCCAAGGTTGTTTGTCGAACTCCCTTTCGCCATATTCACCACGCTTATTCTATCTACTTCAACTATTCTTACGATAGCCCAACTCCAGGATAGCAACAAACCTTAGAAAAGGCCTCAGAACTCCACTCCTGTGATACAACAATACCCAATATTC